ATCAAGGACTTTGTCCCGGCGCAGTGCTCGACGTTGTGTTGCCGTTGTCGGGGAGACTCCGTCTCCTGTACCCAGGGGCGGAGCTAGGATTCGCGAGTCGGGGGGGCCGACAAATTTTTTTTCCCGTATATCATCAGAAATCAGGAAAATAAAAACCTAAAAATATGTTATAAACTAAAATTTTTAGTACAATATGTTAATCATTGTTATTACAATTTACAACTTAATGTTGAACGCTAATAAATTACAAAGAGGAGACAAAATGGAAGTAGCTTTTATGGGGAATTCAAAAATTTGAGCAGTTATTAAACTAAAAAACACAAAAAATGCAGTGGTTCTTGAGGATCGAACCTAGGTTTATGGAACAATAATTTAGCAACTAATCCGCTAGACTACTAGCATTTTCTGTGTCAGTAGTTTGCACACTAATAAATTTATTAAAACCTTTAAATTATTCATTTTTTCCAAAATTCTCGACACATGTACATACGATCTTCAAAATTCTCGGGGGGGCCGGGGCCCCCCCGAGCACCAATGTAGCTCCGCCCCTGCCTGTACCAAGGGTGCTTCCGGGAACACCAAGAAGGTGGTACTGGAATTCGAACCTGGGACCTTGTCACATCCCAAACTCGAAACCCAACCCTTTTACCAACTAGGCTATCTTACCATCGGCAATCCAAGAATTTTGTGATTCTTTGTTTATCTACTCATATATGTGTTCCTTAAAAACGTTAATTAAAAAAAAAGAAGGGTAAATACAATTTAATATCCAAACCTTTTATTTTAAACAATATAATAGCCAAACCTTTTCGAAAACAATCTAATATCCAAATCGTCAACTTTCTGTCTGTTTGACCGTTAGTTGACACTTCAAAAAAGTTCGAAGTACGACACTTCATCAATATCCATTGATATCTTCTCTGAAAAACCACCAACATATCGTAGTTCCAAACCCGAGAAGTTCATGACTCCACCATGATGGTATAGAATATCTAAATATTCAGTCATCTGCAATGCCAAAACAAGAAACAAAGTTGTATTGTGACAATTTCCCCTAAACAAAGCTTTTTTGAAGTGTCAACAAACGGTCAAACGAACGGAAAGTTGACGATTTGGATATTAGATTGTTTTCGCAAAGGTTTGGCTATTATATTGTTTAAAATGAAAGGTTTGAATATTAAATTGTATTTATAAAAAAAAAAACTGGCTGTGCACATCCTCCAACAAGAGGAGAAAATACTAGGGGTGTAAGTTTGACCCTTAAAACCCATTGACCCGCCCCGACCCTCAGGGTCGGGCTGGGTCAGTTTGTCTATAGGGTCAATTTAGGGTCGGGTCAGGGTCAGATAGGGTCGGGTCACTTTTTGACCCTATGACCCTTGGCATCATACAAACATGTTGGACCTATTTGTAAAATTTTAAAAGTTTAGGTACTAAATTGTAAAAATTAAAAAATTTGTGTACCAAAACGTAATTTTACCATCAAATTTTAGGGACTTATTTGTAAAAAAATAAAATTTAGGTACTAAAATGTAAGAAAAAATAAATTCGGGTACCAAATTGTAATTTTTAGAAAAGTAGTATTTATTAGGGTCGACCCACTGACCCGCCCCGACCCTAAAGGGTCAGACAGGATCATGAAAGAAACAGGGTCGGGGCAAGTCTGTTATACATCTTGACCCTTTAGGGGCGGGTCAAACAGGGTCAGGAGAGGGTCAGGGGCGGGGCGGGTCGGGCCAATTTTGAGCCCTAGAAAATACAGCTAGAACGATTCCTCCGTACAGAACCCGACACGCGTACCAACTCGCTGCATCACGACACGTGGCAAGTAGTAGCGTAGTCGTTACTTTCCGCTGTCAGTGTTCCCCACCACCAAAAGATATATGAAAGAGAAGAAAAAATGCGCAAGTTGGCAACCTGTGGGCCCCACCTACCCCCTTGTACGCGTGGCTCGCGCACTGCCTTCCGAATCTCCCCGTCGAGGAGAGCCGTTGCGTTGACTTGACTGCCGGCGGTGACGAGCCACCGAGTCCGTCGCCCTGTTCCTTTCCGCAAAACGGCGACGGGAATCCAGAACGGACGTGGACGGAAATAGTTTGTTGTGTTTCTCTGAGGAGCTTACACGTGGACGTTAGCATCTTCTTACGTTTCCGCCACCAATTATTTTAACAGTTACAGTTTCTGCACTTAATCCACGGCAATTACATCGTAATTTATTTTGCTGTTATAGTTTTTAGGTTAGATTATAAGCATTAATCCGTACTGAAAGGAATCCAATTGGGACATCCTTTTTAAATTCTAAGATTTCAATTTTTTTTTTCTCTCTTTTTTCCAGTTTCGTGGTGGCAGAGATTTGAAAAATGAGAGAGCCAATGAGTCACTACTTCCATAAGTACACTAACCCACACCCAAAACGACACGCACAAGGGAATCGAATTATTATCATCCGAGACTCGGTGGAGCCCACGGATGCATTAATAACGTAAACCGGGCCTCAGCCCTGCCCTCCACGTGTCATCCTTCCTACACTCCCAGAAGCTAGCCTGCCGGACGCGTGGCCAACTTCTTCCCTTCCCTGGCGTCTCGACACGTGTCCGCCTGCCCCGGCTCCAACTTGCTCTTTCTTTTTTCTGCCTCTAAACAAGAACAAATAAAAAATAAAATAAATACACCTTTCAAACAGACAGACAACTTTAATATTTATTTATTTAGTTATTTTCTGCTCTTCCTGAAGTAATGTCAGGCAACCCACGTGTCACTCTGGCGCTTCTAATGGTCACCACTTGGTGGTGCCTCTCTCTCCCTTTTTATTTATCCAACAAGATCAGGGGCATTTTCGTCCCCCCTGCACCTTCCCTTCTTTTCATTGATTGGTACTCCCATTTTCCTTTTTGTTTCTCAAGTTTATATTGTCTGCTCAATTAGTTCTAATCCAAAATTTTGATTATATTGTTTGATGTTCAGTACGTGCTAACTATATCAACGTTGATAATATAAATCATATTTCGTCTATAAATTTTTAAAGTGATTAAACACCAAACAGTCCTATAAATGCGTTTTAAATTTTTTTCTTTCCATTAACGCAATTAATAACTAACTAAAAAGGACTACAACAACAATACTCTTTTCCGTTGAAATGGAATTGATTAGGAGGTAAAGATGGTCCTGGATCAATTTACTAATCTTTTTGTTACCATTATCTTATCTTTCCATATTTTTCCATCAAAAGAAAAGAAAATTAACAGATTAATAATAATAAAAAAGAGAGAGGAGGAAGAAAGAGAAACAAAAACTTCCCTTTTTTCCTTCTCTCTCTTTCTCACTTCCTCTGTCACGTCTCTGCCCTTTCTGCTTCTTTTCCCTTCTTCCGCCACTGCCGATTCCTCTCTCTCTCTCTCTGTTCCTAGTTTTTTGTTTTTCTTTCTTGTTTGCTTTCTCCCTATTGTTCTTTTCCGCTCGTCAAGCCACCAATTCTCTTGCCGAAAATTGAACTATAGAGAGAGATATAGACCCAGAAAAAACGTTTCTTTTTCCCCCTTCCCCCTTTTCTTACTCATCTGTTTTCTGGGCTTCACCCCTCCATTGGGGCTCTGGCTTCTTCGATTAGGTCAATGGCCAGTTCGTTTTGTTTCTTTCCATTATACCTATACAGTCGAGAGCTTTGAACTGGGGGAGGGATGGGTTTTTTGCGAATCAGATCAAATAGTACTGCTGCTGCTGCTGCTGCTTCTGCTTCATGCTCTGTCTCCTAGCTCAATCAACATCTTCTAATCCCCTCTCTCCCCCCTGTTTCTCCAATCTCTGTTCTTCCCCCCTCAATTGAAACGATAGAGAGCTTTACTTCCCATGGGGGAAGCGGAAGGAGCCGTGAACAGAACCGGCGTTGGAAGCAGCAGCAGCAGTAGCAGAGCAATGGAGAGTCTTTCGTTGGAGATAAACCGGTACCCGAGGGATCTACTGACGAGATTCATGTCGAGCGACGGTCACGGCGGGCAGAAGCGTAGAGCTCTAACGAGGGAAGAGGAAGAAGATGACGAAGCGGAGAGGGAAGCAGAGGAAATCGAGCTGAATCTGGGCCTGTCGCTCGGCGGCAGATTTGGGGTCGACAAGACTTCAAAGAAGATAATCCGATCGTCGTCGATAGCTAGTTCCATGCCGTTCCTTCAGGAGCCTGATGCATTCAGCTCGCCTCCTGCAGCTACGTCGTATCCCATGCTGATGAGGACATCGTCTCTGCCGACGGAGACAGAGGAGGAGTGGAGGAAGAGGAAGGAAATGCAGAGCTTGAGGAGGATGGAGGCCAAGAGGAGGCGGAGCGAAAAGCAGAGGAACTCGACTACAAATTCGAATTCGAATCCTAGTCTAAGAGGATTAGTAGTGGGGGGAGGAAGTGGAGGGGAATTGAGTTTGCTGGAGGAAGAGAAGAAGGAATTGCTAGGGAATGTTAACAGTAATAGTAGAGGGAATTGGATGGCCCCTTGTAGGCAAGGGGGAATGAATTTGAATAGAAGCAGCAGCGGCAATCATTTGCAATATGGGTCACAAGGTTCAGTGGAATCTCAGGGTGGGAATAGCTCTACTTCTGGGATGTCAGAAATGGAGAGTAAGCCTAATCTTCAAGGTTTGTTCTTTTTTCCTATTTTGGGATTTCTCATAATTTCCAGCTACTTTTTTTTAGGGCTTTGAATCCTTCGAACTTTCTATATTTGGGTTGCCTTGCCTGCATTGTTATGGATTAGGGTTCGACTCTGTTGTTGTTGGAAAGTTAGGACGGTAGGTGGGTTGGGAATTTGTTGGATTGATGGTTGTACTGAGAATTGTGGAGGAAGGGACATGGTTTGGTACATTTACCCTATGCTGTTGAATAGACGGGGTTAGCTTAGCTTCTGGTTTGTTTCAAACTTGGTGGATAGAGATGGGAAATGATGAGTGCTTGTGTGTACTTGAAGCAACAAGCTTTTCCATCCTAGAGAATAGAGATGGATGGATAACTGCGAAAGTTTGCACCTTCTGTTTTTTTCTCTCATTACAATGTGGCTAAAAAGTTTGCACCTTTGATTTGGGGCTCATCCAAGGCGGAATCCTAGTTGGTCACAATGACGAATTATCGTTCGAGTTGTGATGTGAAAGACCAAATGAAATCAATTGATTTATAGGGTTCTAAGAAGTGCTTTCAAGTAGATCTTGAATCTGTTTCCTCTAGGGCAGAGTATCTGCTTTCGATGTGCTAAGCTTCCTTAACTAAAGTGTTTCGAATTGGCTCGAGAGGACATTGCACTACTTCGAAATGAACTGATGGTGAGTAGCCACAATGTTGGTGGCTCAAAATGGGCTACTGTTTATTAGTTAGTATCGTATAGGTACTGCATGGGGTTGCTTGTGCTTTACGTTAGTGTCCAGGATTTGTAATTGTTGCATCTAAACTTTTATTTGCTTCTTCTCTTCGTCTTACGTTTGCTGTGAACCTATGTTGGTATTGTGACGCTTTTGTGGACAATCTACCAGAACACGCTGGAGACTAGAACTAGAAGTGCCCAGGTACAAAAACGCTGCCACCTAGTTGGGACTTAGAAGGGTCTAATTATTCCCAACTAATTTGATATTGTGGCTGGCCAATGTTCTAGAATTCAGACACCCTGAATGAATCAACTATAGTTCATTCATGACTAGGCATCTGCTCCTCTTAACTATTGCTCATTTTTTCGTGTTTGTTGTCTGCTTGCAGACTATAGCTAGGCAAAGGTAGGTACTACTTGGTGTATTCTGTTTCTCATGCTCAAATGTTTTACTCCTATGAGGAATATACGAAGGCGAAAATTTTAAAAATTCGACAGGTGTGTTACTGAATGGTCGGGTTGCAGTATGTCTGATTAGGAATATCAGACCATACATGATCCATGTGCTTTTGGCAAGTGAATCTAGAACTTGCTCTCGTACCAAAACAACTTCGTTTTTACTTTGAGCTGAAGTGTAAAAGATGCTGGTATAACTTCAACGATCTACTAGATCGACCTGATTATTCTGCTCTTAAGGTGGATGACCTTATTCTCTTTGTGCTGTACCAAATCTATGATATGATATGACTTGTGTGCCAAAAAGGGAACCTTTGTTTCTTCCACTTTCTCATCTCTATGGCACTGCAGGATCAGGCAGTGCAGGCAGCGAATCAAGAAGCCCGATGAGCAACCAATCCTTGCAAGATCAACGAAACCGGCCCGGATGTTCTTCAGTCCCCAAACCAACCACCGAAAAGTCTACCAGAGCCGCTGTCCCAGACCACGAGAACAACCATAAGAGCCCCGGTGCCTCTTCTTCGGGGGACAAGAGAGGTAGGGAAGCTGGGACGACGAGCGCCATGGAAGACATGCCTTGTGTGTTCACTATAGGGGACGGACCGAACGGGAGACGAGTAGAAGGCATCCTGTACAAGTACGGCAGAGGAGAGGAGGTTAGGATAATGTGTGTTTGCCATGGCAGCTTCTTGTCACCTGCAGAGTTCGTGAAGCACGCCGGGGGCATGAATGTCGACCACCCTCTTAGGCATATAGTCGTTAACCCAGCAGGTCCTTCCTTTTCTTAAATTTGATTCTCTCCTTCTTTGGTTTGTTTCCACCATGAAGTATGAAGCTGCTCCCGTTGATCTGGGGTGGTGAAGTGAGTAAGAATAACAAATTTTAGAGGATTAGAGGGGTTTCTTTTCATTCTTTCTTTTTTGTAATTTAAGCTCTTAAAAGGGCTGAACTTTTTGTTTATTGAGAGTATTCTGTAAATGGTTTTTTTTCTGGTTTTTTTTTCTTCCATGGAAACAAATTTCAGGAAGGCTGATGAACTTTTTGAATGAGCAAGGGCTGATATTAGTTGTCATTGCGTATCGTTTCATTGGTTGCTTGTCTTTGAACGGGTAACGTTTCCCTCACTCTTCCATGGAATGGGAAAATCTGTCGAGACTTGAACGTCGTGATGGGAATCTTAATGATTTGCTCCCAAAATATAACGAACGATTCCTTAAACGAATAGGAAAAGGATAAGTTGGTAGTAGACCTGTTCCGTCCAGATGTCTCTACGATAACTGGATTCCGTGAGAAGAAAGGTGATCTGGAGTTTTGTACTGCCATCATGTGAAGGGGTTCGGGATGACAATCACAATAATGGGTCCTCGGTAGCGGCATTGCCATTGCCAATGCAGTTATACCCGGAATTTTCGTATTGAATAGGTACTCGACGGATATTGATAAAATTCACAAAAGGTTTGATGGAGATGAGATGAGTATGGTCTGACACTCTCGCCATGTAAGCATTATCTAATTTTTTTATATGGGAAATGTAGGTTTCATATTTTAATCTTTCAATGGGTAAATGCAAGTTTGGTCACTAGAATTACTATAAAAGTTCATGGTTGCCACTAAAATTAATTAATTTCATCCGTAGTCACTTAAATTAGTTACACAGTCCAAGTTTGGTCACTCTTCGTTACCCTCCGTTAGACTCCGTTAGACTCCGTTAACTTAGTCCATTAAATGATGACGTGGCAAACGAAAAATCCCAGTCAGCTTAATTTAACCCTAAAAACTCATGAATCGACTGCCACGTCAATTTTGCCCGCCACGTCAACCATCCCTACCCAACCCGCGAACCAAACCAAGACCCAACCCGACAATCTGAAAACCTAAATTGGAAATAGGAGAGGGAAGAGTGAAATTGTGGCTCAACCGCCGCACCCGACAACTTCACGGCCACCCAGTACGACGTCGACAACGGGAGCGGATAAGGTCAGTAACTTTAGGGTGAGTAACCAATCCACATCAGCATCCATCTTTCTCATGGAAAGCCTTTTAGCTTTTTCCCTTAAATCTTTAACGAACGATTTCTCTCTCGTTTTAAGTCGGAATTTATATTTTTTCATAGATAAATCAGATAAATTGTGCTTTTTAAAATGATATCCACTTTGATATATTTTTAGAACAAAAAAAATTGAGCCATATTTTACCAGTCAATATCATATGGTATGCTCCTATTTAATACCATATGGTAAGAAAAAATACGATGATGGTATGAACATACCAAGACTGTAGGAAGATTGAATACATGATAGTAGAAGTATACTAACTGTTTTTTTTTTTTTTTTGACAAAGTATACTAACTGTTATTTACAACTTTCATCATTGTTTACCACAAGTTACCACCCCCATATCCTAGTGGTAAAGTATGATAATTTTTTATCCTGTATTTTTTTCACCCAGAAATTTGTAAATCCAATAGATCATGATGAACTTGAACCTTCTGAGCAAATATTTTAAAAAACGACTTAAAAACGAAGAAGTTAACATATGGTATGTAGTTGATAACGGGAGGTATGAAAAAAAATTCTCAAAATATATTGAAAATTGATCTCATTTTGTAAAACACAACGAACTCGTTCCATCTGTGCAAAAAAAAAAAATGAAATCCGAGTTAGAACGAATAAGATAAGAGCCGATTAAGAAAACTAGGAAAAATAAAATGCCTTTAAATCACAACCCTTAGATCTGGATTTTCTGGGCCCACTTTGATCTAAAGGTGAAGATTTAGTTACTCATAGGTCAGTAACCATTGGTTACTGACCATATCCCAAGTCGTCAAGGCTCAAGATACATTGCATAACCATGGGTTATGCACCCATTAATAACTAAATATGGACCCTTCATTTAGAAAATCCAGATCTAAGGGTGGAGAATTAAAGACATTTTTATTTTCCCTTGTTTTCTTAATCGACTCAAATCTTCTTCGTTTTAACGCGGATTTCAATTTTTTTGCACAGATGGAACGAGTTCGTTGTGCTCTACAAAATGAGATCAATTTTTATATTTTTTTATTAAAAAAAATTTCGTGCCTCTTGGTACCAACTGCATACATATGGTGTCTTCTTCGTTTTTAATTCGTTTTTGAAAAAATTTTCATAGAAGGGACGAGTTCATCATGATCTATTGGATCTACAAAGTTCTGGATGAACAAAATACAAGACCAAAAAATACCACACAATACCACCCTGGTACGGGGTGGTATCTTGCGGTACACAATGTTAAAAGTCGTAAATGACAGTTAATATATTTCTACTATCATGTATTCAACCATCCTACAATCTTGGCTTGTTCATACCACCATGGTACGCTTTTCATACCATAGTTATGCTCTTATTTCAATACCAGTCAATACCATATGGTATAGACTAGTAAAAAATGACTCTATTTTTTGTTCAAAAAATATATCAAAGTGGATGAACCATTTCACGAAGTATGTGCCCGGATAATCCAAAGTCTCGATAATTAGTTTGATCAGGGAAACCACAGAAAACGAATCCGCTAATGAAGGTTACAAATTCGGTCAAGAGGAAGAAACTTATATAATAACTCGAGCACCCATTTCAAATGCGTATCCCGAACAGAACCATGGAAGGAGAAAGACCCATATATAAATTTCTATAGAATCTTTGAAAAAGACCTTCCCGCATAAGAAAGAAAACAGATATAAACATCTATAGTTTGAGTTATGGTGGCTGAATGAACAATTCAAAAAAATTCTGCAATATTCGATGATCAAAGTCGAATCGTGAGCCTATTAATGAAGCAAATTCAATGAAGCTATCATTTTGAAGAGCACAATTAATATGATCTAACTGTGCAAAAAGAAAAAATTAAATTTTGACTTAAAACGAGTGAGAAATCGTACATTAAAGATTATAGAGGGGGGATTAAAGGCTTTTCAGGAGAGAGAGAGAGAGAGAGAGAGAGAGAGAGAGAAGGGGTGCTGATGTGGCGGATTCTGATTGGGTTATGTATAATTATTGACCACAAGGTTATTGACCGGATTCGCTCCCCCGTTGGACTACTTACTACTTACTAGTTACTACTACAAATGGAAGGAAATCATTCCAACTATAAAAAAAATTGATTACAATTATAATTTTAGGGGTCGTTTGGAAGTTATAATTCTAGATGAATGATTCTTTGAATTTATATATTTTGGAGAACTCATAGTTTTTTTGTTCCAAAACTTTATTCTATACATACATTTGAGGTGAGCCCTCAAATCTCATATCACCCACAAACACCCATTTTAAATTTCAGCAAAAAGGTGAGATTCTTAATTCCTTTGAGTTTGTGGGCTTTAGGTTTGTTCAACTTTTAGCTCAAAAAGTTTTTTTTTTCTTTTCTTTAAAAATGTTGATAGTTTTCCATTTATCTAATTCATACAATCTTTGTATTTACAATACATGTATTCATCAAATACACATATTTGAAGAATCTCAACTTCCAAACGACCCCTTACTATTATAATTCATTGCTCGTATGATGTTATTCGTATTTGCTTCGATCTGTCTGTATAAAGTGTCTCATAGACAGTGACACAATGTACATAGATCCCTCAGGTTATCATATCCCTAAATAGGCAGGTATGGTATTTCCACAATTGAAAGGAACAGGCAAACACAACCCTGGAGACCAAACTGCTAATAGCAAGAAGATAGGCAAAAGATTTCTATATCCTACGCACAGTGATAGACACCTCATTACCTCTTCTACACAATAATAGTAATAACAAGGGTGGAACTTATAGTTCCCACTTCCCACTCAATCCGGCTATTGTACCCAAAACTCCCAACGCTCGACACCAAAGACCCCATTCATTACAAAGTACAAACCATGAAACCACACAACTCACTGACACTACTACTATACTATAATATACACTTGTATTCAAACCACCCTTCCTAACAACAGCTCTACATAACCATCCCACATACTCGAGCCAAAGTCACGAAGGCCTGATCTGTCGCAACCGCTGCACAACACTCTTCATCGTCGGCCTAGTCGAAAGCGTATCATCAGTGCAAGTGATCGCCAGGTGCAGCATCTCGACCAGATCGTCGTGCGGGCTCGACTCCCACAGCCCCGCGGTGAACACCTCCTTCGCCCTTCCGTGCCTCAGCAGCAGCGACGCCCACGAGACAATGTTGAACCCGTTCTCCTGCGAAGAGAACGAAGGATCCAGCGCCTTCTTGTCCGACATCAGCTCCAGCAGCACCACCCCGTAGCTGTACACGTCCGCCTTCTCAGAGACGCGACATGTCATCGCGTACTCAGGCGCCACATACCCGAACGTGCCCGCCACGCCCGTGGTGGCGTGCGTCTCGGACGTGCCAAGCAGCCTGGCCAGCCCAAAGTCGGACAGGTAGGCGTTGAACTCATCGTCGAGGAGGATGTTGCTGGGCTTGACATCGCGGTGGAGGATTCGCGGAGCACATTGGTCGTGGAGGTAGGCTAGAGCTCGAGCAATGTGGAAGGCGATCTTGTGGAGGATCTTCCACTGGACCGTGGCTGCCGATCTACCCCTGATGAAGCTTTCCAGATTGCCCCCCGGGAGGTAGTTGTAGATGAGGAACATCTCGGTTTCGCTGGCGTGGAAGCCGATTAAGGTCACGAGATGCGGGTGCCTTACCCTTCCTAGTGCCTTGATCTCGGCGTGGAACTGCTGGAAACCTTGGAACCTCCCGACAGAGAGCCTCTTCACCGCGACTAGGGTGCCCGGAGCGATTTCTGCTTTGTAAGTGGCCCCGAAGCCTCCGTTGCCAATGCAGTTCCTCGTGTTGAAGTTCCCCGTTGCTTGGACGATGTCCTCGTACAGCAAAGGGACTCCGATGGGAACGAATTCGATGATCTCTTTGGGCTCCGAAACTTGAACTCTAGCATTCGGGGTCAATTTTCTCATGTAGAAGAAGAGGACCACTAGCACTATGAGGACCGAGACGATTGCTGATGCTGATACTATCGACGCTATCTCGATTGGACTCAATCCATGGCTTGCAGCAGAAGTTGAAGAAGCGGTCTCCTCGCTGTCAGCTGTAGCCAGAGACCTAGCATTTCTCGGAACCTCGCTTTCTACATTCTCACTTGGAGACCAAAGTACCTTTACATGGGGAAGGGTTGTAGTGAGTTCTGTAGGCAGAGTGTCCGGGAAATGATTCCGCGAGAGATCAAGAACCTGCAGGCGCTTCAACTGGCCAAATTCGCTAGGGATTTGGCCGGTGAACCGGTTCGAGTTCAAGGAGAGTGTCCTTAGCTGATGACAGTTTCCTAAAACGGGAGGGACAGTGCCAATAAGGTGATTCCCTGAGAGATCAATATGTTCTAGAAACTCACAATGAAACCCTAACTCAAAGGGAACTGTCCCATTCAGCTGATTGTGAGCCAAATTGAGTTCCTTGAGCTCCAGAAAACTGCCAACGAATTCAGGAATCCGCCCAATCAGGTTGTTACCAGCCAAGTTCAAAACCTGCAAACTAGCAAATCTGGAAATTGAAGCAGGGATTTCTCCATGGATTCTGTTGAACCCTAGATTCAAAACTCGTAATTTCGTCAACCCAACACCAAATTGACCAGAGTACTCGCCGGTAAACAAGTTTCCTTGCAGATCCAGCACTTCTAGCTCCTTTAAACCCCAAATCTCAGAAGGGATTTCGCCGCCGAGGTCGTTGAAAGGCAGAGACAAAACCCTAAGCTTACTGAGCTTCCCAATCAAAGGCGACAACTTTCCGACTAACTTCCCACGACGACCCCAACCAGAGCAAACCCTCTTCAGCCTGGCCCCCAGGATAGGAAACTTGAAAGCGTCGGAACAAGAAAGATCCTCGGAGCTACCTCTTCCGCCGCCGCCGGGGATTCTGATGGAGACGACCTCTGACCGGGAGTTGCAAGCCACCCCAGCCCATGCACAGTGGTGGAGCTCCGGATTCCAGGCGGAGAGAAGATTTCCATGGGGATCGGAGACCGAAGACTTGAAGTCCAGCAGGGCTGACTTCTCCGGCGACGACTCGGGAACAGAGGAAGAAAGAGGGAAGATACCAAAACAGAGCAGGAAGAGGAAGAAGAAAAAGATGAGTTCTTCTGGAATTGGAAGCAGACCTTTCTGTTTCATTTTCTGCAAACAACCCAGAAAGAAGAAGGTCCCCTCTCGCCCCTGTCTCTCTCCGTTTCTATTTCTGGAGGGGCAGAGTCCCGTTTGAGCTCTGCCGGAGAAATCGAAAGCAAGGAAGAAAGAGAACGAAAAGAGGAAAGGAAAGGTAGTAGAGTAGTGGCGTGGTGTGCAGAGAAGAGAAACGAAGAGAAGAGATTCAACAAAAGGCCAAACCGCGTTTCCTTCTTTCTTCTCACTGCTCTGCGATGCCTACTTTTTTGTTGCTATTTTCCAACCATTTTTTCTTCCTTCATTCAAAGCACTACTACCGGCAACTCTCTGTCTCTCTCATGATTTTCTTGGCTAATTAATTTTTCTTTTTGTTGATATTTTCTCCTATGGGTTAACTACAAATCAGTACCCAATATTAGTATTTCGCGCAGGATGGCCACATTCTGTGAACAAATTTTTTTTTTTTTCTACTTTTGAGAATTCGCCTTACAAGAGATATTGGCTACCGATTTCAAACTTTGAATCTCTAAATGTATTCTTCCATGAATATATGAAAGAAGTCAGCCCATATAAAGAGGGGAAAGTTAATATGCCAACTTGAACATTCGTTAGCAGATACTAACTGATATTCAAAAATACATGAACTAATATCCAAATACTAAAGTATCTAAAAAGTACAGACTAGTATTCTAAGTTTGCTAACTGATATCCACCATGAATCAACTATTATCCCAAGTTCACAAACTAACATCTAGACAACACAGAATAGTATCCAAACAACACATACTTAGTATCCAAATAACACATAAGAGTATCCATATTGAATACTAGTTGGTTGATTGTGGATATTAGTTGGTATCTACTATCTGGATACTAGTTTGTGATGTTTTGAATACTAGTCTGTGTTATCTAGATACTTAGCATACTTGGATATTAGTTCATACATTTTGGATATTAGTTAGTATAGACAAAGAATGTATAAAGAGATGTTGACATCTAATTCTCTAATCTTCTATTTCATCTGGTTAATGAGCTATGAATTGTGTAAAGAGGAGGGAAGATATAATTGTGTGATCGATTGATTACTTGAAAATACATTCTTTGTCTATCTATTATTATGATGTGCATAGGTAGTATCATGTTAATATGAACTCGACCTATAAATCAATACAATGCTATGGACATTAGCATATTGAAGAAAAGTGGTGAGTCAAGTTCTGGACTTCTGGTTTTCATTTCATTATTTTTCAGCTATACCAAGTGATATTGCTCAATTGCGTTTTCCCAAGAGAGTATATGATTATCTATGAAATGTTGAATGTTCACATGCAATCTATAAAATAGGAGTGGCGTATCGTCTCTCTTGGCTCATCAATTGGATGTTTAGTCACGAGGACGCCACCCGACAAAGCACGTTGAGGAGCCCCCAGTAACTGGATAGCTAGTAGCATTGTCCCGTAGCTTAAGTAAATTGTTTTCACACCAACAACCTAAAGTTCAAAGCGTCTCATAAAATCAGAGCATGCTACATCGAAATTCTTTTATCTTGTTCACACGGTTTCCAAGTGTAAAATGATAGCATGCACGATATGTCTCAAACAAACACACCCCGTTCCAATTATGGACAACTTTAAACTCAATTAACTCATCTTTGTCTTTTTTCCCATAGATATTTGTGGCCTTCTTTCCCCCGCCCCTTCAATATGGCATTTGATGAGTTGGGTGAAAGATACTCATTGATATCAAGCAATATTAGCTGGAAGTGCATCTACATAAGCCATTCATCAAAAGTTTAGCAACAACAGGTAGGTTACTGATTAAATTATTTGCTAACAATTGTTTCCTATGGGTAGTAGATGGTTATCATCCAAGTTTTTAAGGATCTGAAGTGCGAAACTGCAATCATTCTAGGACTGAATCGTTAATAAACAATGGTATGGAGGACTGACTTGTGCTTTTATCCTCCCATCCTTCCTTTTCCTTTTCTACTACGGTGCACGACTGACTTATCTTTTTTTTTTTTGTTATAATCATTTTTTGGGTTGGGAGGTGGCTGGTGGGCCCAAAGGGGTGTAGGCCTTATAAACGGGGTGGAGAAGAGGGGTCCGTGGGCCCCACCTTGGGTCAATCACGGAGTCAATAATGATGGCTGCTCCAAGGCGGGAACCCGGCGGAAGCGGAAGTAGGACCACACGTGGCCCTATCACTGGCTGCCATTGAATCTGGATATTCATTTTAATTATATTTATTTTATTCCATTTAAGCAAATAGACAGGCGTGATATTGGGAAAAAATCCCACTGTACACACGTTCTTAAAAAAAATTCCCAAAATACATGAGTTATAAAAAAATTTCCCAAAGTACACATGTTTGGGCATCACCGTTTTAGACAAAAGCGGTGAAGATTATCACCGCGTTTGACCAAAACGGTGAATGCTTCATCGTCTTAAACAAAAACGGTGAAGTATTCACCGCGTTAGTTTACAACGGTGAATACATCACCGTTTTGGTCAAAAACGGTGAACCCATTCATCGTTGTCAATCAACGCGGTGATTTTTCCCACGTTTCCCACCCCTGGTAGGTCAAAATTAGGTCGCAGCTACCACCTATTCACCGTTTCAGACAAACGCGGTGATAGTGTTCACCGTTTTCGACAAAAACGGTGAATAGTTGGCAGATTTTCCTATAAATTGCACACCACCAGCAGTTGTAAAAACATAACCACTCCCCTTTCTTCAAATTTCAGCAGCCAAAATCGAGCATAATACACAGAACAGAAATTTTTCGGTATGTTGAGACTTTTCGTATTATAGTCTAATTATGTTTTTAGTAGTTATAGTATGATTTAATTTTCGTATTATGTTGTTGTTAGTTAGTTGAACTTATGTTCGTTAGTTATAGTATGATTTAATTTTCGTATTATGTTGTTGTTAGTTAGTTGAACTTATGTTCGTTAGTTATAGTATGATTTAATTTTCGTATTATGTTGTTGTTAGTTAGTTGAATTTATTTTCGTTAGTTATGGTATGATTTAATATTAGTTGTACAATATGATATTTGAACTTGTTCAAATATGGACAAAACATGATTACCTGATTCCACCATGGTTTATCTAACTCAGAACGATAAAACAGTAACGAATGCTCAGGTTGATGGTCATTCGTATTTGCTCCTATCCACCTTGTAAGTAAAAGTACGGAATCAATTTAATTGAAATATCGCCAAGCATATAATAAATTAAATTGGTCTAAGTACGGAATAAATTCAATTTAAATCTAGTTAAGCATGTAATCAAATTTAAATTGGGCTAAGTACGGAATAAATTCAATTTAAATCTAGCTCAAGCATGTAATAAAATTTAAATTGCGCTAAGTACGGAATAAATTCAATTTAAATCTAGCTCAAGCATGTAATAAAATTTAAATTGGGCTAAGTACGAAATAAACTTACTTGACACCGTAGGGGAGATTTTGCAGAAGGTTGAGCTCATCATCGTTTCTCCGGTATGGACGTGGGTCGAGAGGTGCGAACATTGGAAGATGCTCCCATACCCACAGTTGAACGATGAACATCGCAGCACCAGCTTGCTTTGCCCCAACCTTCGAGCAAGTACACAGCTCCCGGTATACGCCCGCTAGCACGGCCGATCCCCAACTCTTCTCTCCAATTGCATCCCAGTCACCGGTGAGCAATGGCAACCATATGCCTTGAATCCACCGGTTGGACTTGTCGGGGAACAAAAATCCACCCACCAAACCGATGAGGTAGATGCGGGCGTAGCGCTCGACTTGTTCTTCCGGTGTCTCGTCATTGATTTCCACCTCTTGCTGGATGTGAGATACCAGCCACGGGACCGACACTTGCCCCGCATTCAACGGTGGATGCCCCCGTCCTTGATTTCGTGTGGTGGTCGGCATGTCGAAGCCCAAACGATCACGGATGAGCGGCCCCCAACCTCCTCCGGGTTTGGTCGTGTTCCCAATGATGGCATCTCCAGATATAGGAAGCCCGGTGAGGATCGCCACGTCTTTGAGGGTGATCGTCATTTCCCCCTCCGGAAGGTGGAATGTATGGGTTTCGGGACGCCATCGTTCCGCCATTGCCGTAAGCAGATCGTTGTCGATCTCGATCCGCAAGAAATGGCGCAACATTCCCAAACCGGTCCTCGCTATATAGGGCTCCAACCTTGGATGCCAAGCGGGCAAGTTATTGGTCCCTTTATGAACCACGGGAACAAGAGATTCCTAAAAAAAATAGGAAAAACATCAATTTATTAGATTAAATAAAGCAAAATAAAACATTAGAAAATAATAAAATAAAGCAAGTCAGTTCATCAATTTACCGGATTGTTATCCCAAATGGCACGGGAGCGATGCATTTCTTGATCGGTTAAGAGACTCGCATCCCTTGGGCCATAATGGATATACAATCGAGGATCGTATATCTCGGCACCCATCTATAAAAAAGTAATGAAATCAGAGATTGTTTTGATAAAAAAAATCAAATTGTTTCGATTAAAAAAAATCACAAACCAAAAACCTACACGAAGAGCCTCTTCGTCCATTATTGGCGGAAGCCGGACAGAGGTTCGACGGGTTTAGCTTTGTAAGGGACGGGAACTTAGCGGGACGAGGGCTTTAGGGTCAAACTCTAGTAATTCTTTCTGATGTGGAAGATCAGACTTAGCCGCAACCACAGAGCATACTTAGAACGAGACTAGAGCGGATAAATTGAGGGAGAAAGAAGTGAAATGTATGTGGGGTGAGTTGAAAGTGAAAGGGGAATGGGGTATTTATAGTTTGGGGGAAGGGGGGAGGAGCTGCTGCGCAGTTATTAGGGCTCCATTCACCGCGTTTGATGAACGCGGTGAACTCCTCGCTTTAGCCGCAAACGGTGAATGCGATATTGACGTGGCGTGCTGTGAGGCGTCGGATCGTGGGAAGAAAACCACGATCCGCGTCTCACCGCATCTAACGGCCACGGTGAAAGCACATTGGCGCGGATCGCTGACGCAAACAAACACGGGTTATTCACCGTGTTTGTCTAACGCGGTGAATACCCCGTGCTGTCCACGTCAGCAACTTCACCGCGGCCAACAAAAACGGTGAAGCCTTCACCGTTTTAGTTTAAAACGGTGAAGGCTTCACCGTTTTTCTTTAAAACGGTGAGGTATTCACCGTTTTTAACAAACGCGGTGAACCCTTCACCGTTTTAGTGTGAAACGGTGAATACATCACCGTTTTTGTTTAAAACGGTGAAGTACTCACCGTGTTCGTCAAACGCGGTGATGACCTTCACCGTTTTTGTCTAAAACGGTGATGCTCAAACATGTGTACTTTTGGAATTTTTTTTATAACTTATGTATTTTGGGAATTTTTTTTAAGAACTAGTGTACTTTGGGATTTTTTCCCGTGATATTGGCTTGGCGGAGCTGTAAGGCTTAAACGACGCGTCGTCTCAATCTTACGGAACCTGGGTGAATTGAAAATTTGGGTACCCATATTATTCATTTATAACACTGTAGCCACCCGAATCAAAAAACATTCAACTTAGCCATCGATACTACACATTTATGTTATATTTGGTCACTCACCGATAAATATGTCCAAGGTGGCAGTCAACAGTTATGTCTGACCGTTAAAATGATGACATGACAATTAAAAATAAATTTTAATCTTTTATACTTTACTACTCACAATTTTTAATTAAAACTAAGGAAAAAAAAAACAACCTTCCCTAACCTTCCCCTTCGACCGCCCAAAACCACCCCCCGCCCACCTCGCCCCCACCAGGAAATCTTGGCCGCCTCTTGCTCCCTCTTCAACTCTTCCTCCTCCGACGCTAACTACAATGATGAGTAGCGCCAGAGCTTTCGTGGCCGTCGCCGGGAAGATGAGAATGTTGGTCGCGGGTTTCCTGATGGTAGGTTATGACCGAGCCGACTTCATTTCCGGCGACGGATTCCTCTGTTTGGGTTCTTCAGCAGTGACTTCCTTGTTGTTTTCTTCCTCGCCTGCGGTCTTTGACTAGTGAGAGGTGTAGACGATGGCACGTGAAGTGGTCTGGAAGCGGATTTTTCAGATCTGTGAAAATCGACCAAAGAAAGAACAAATGGTGCAAAGTTCGTGGAAAACGGGTCGATCTTAAGATTCTTCACCGAGTTCTGCGACTAGTAGAGCTTCAACTCGGACAACTGGTTTCTCTTGGGGAGCCATCTCCGTTGCTGGTGCCTTTGGCGAACTCTTTTTTCAGGACACTGGTGCGTTATCACAACATATGGGTTTCCCGATCTGGGAAAAATGGGAATTTTGGTTTTATGCGCGAGTGCGAAATGGGGTCTGGGCGAGGTTGAATTTTTGGTTTTCCCGATCTCATCATCGGAGCCAACTATCCAAGAATTCGATCTATCACCAAAAGAATCCCCGCCGGCGGTAGCTTCTTCCCCAACCTCCAGTTGCAGAAAATTGGCCCACGAAATCCTCACCAGAGGCAGCTCGAACAAGAATTTCTCAAAATAGACATATCCAAATTCGTTCTTCTTGATGATATCCTCCTTGAGAGCCAATTCGACCTCTTTCAACCCACTCCTGCTCAGAAAGTCAAGAACTTTCTCCACATCGGGCGTCGCCGGAGCTTCCCCTCTGTATTTCCAACTCTGTCGCCTCCTGGTACCGGTGATTCTTATGATTCCGCTATGATCATGATGGGAAGCCAACAAGTTGGGGGTAGGAGAAGGTGGGAGAAAGGGGATGGTGAGACTTGAATTGAGAGAAGAAGAGAGAGGGTCAAAGTGGAAGACGAAGGAACAGAGAGAATGGCGGCGAAGTGCGACAAAGGAGAGGTGAGGGCGACACCGGTGGGTTCTGTTTATCAACATTTATATTAATTAGTTTTGTATGAAAAATAAATATTTATTAGTTTTTTGTATGACATGGAAATAAAAATAATTTTTTTATTATTTTTAATTGACACATCAACTTTTTAACGGTCAAACATTAGAGTTGACTGCCACGTAGGACAGACTTAACAGAACTAGATGGTGAGTGACCAAATATGACATAAATGTGTAGTATCGGTGGCTAAGTTGAATGGTTTTTTATTTGAATGGCTAAAGTGTTATAAATGAGTACTATGGGTGACCAAATTTGCAATTCACCCTACGGAACCTGTTTGGAAATATTCCATCCAGATCCTCCAATTTTCGAGGTTAGGAGTTTTGCGATTTTCCCGTTGATCACACTCTGTTTGGCAACAAGGGTGCAAATTGCAGGTGTGCAAACTGAGGGTTAAATTGTCGGGGTGCAAATTGTTGGAGGGTGTAAGTGGAGGTGTAAATTGTTGTTTGAATGAAAAAATAAGTGGGTGCAAATAGAGTGAAAAGTAAGTAATTAAATTATTATAAAATAGATTTATTAAAATTATAAAATATTATCAAAAAATAATAAAATAAATATTATTATATAATAATAAATATAATTTAGCAAAAATAAATATTATATAATAATGCTCAAATAATAATTAATTATAACAACTGTAATAATCATTGATCGAGCGATCTCAATACTCGAAGCTCAACTCGTAACAAGTCATCCTATATAGGGTTCTCGTCTCTAGTTTAATCTTAAATTGTCAAACTTAGTCAAACACGTTCGAATTTGTAAGTTTTAACTATTTAGTCAAATAAACTGAGTTAACCTAACAATTCCTCTATATCTTTTCAACAAACACTTCGTATATCTAATTTTCAATGCAAATTCGAGTCAACCAAGAGATCTAGATTTGACTTGACAAACATTGATAAACTTGTTTCCGGAGTCAACGGTCAACCCCGAATAATATCTACATTAATGATATTTATAAGAAAAGAAATTGATAATATTAATTATTATTTAATTATATATAACACAATTAGAAAAATAAAATTCCATAATTCTCCCCTCCCCCTCTCTTCCTTCCTTTGCACCCCAATTTGGGAGTAAGCCGAAATAGTAAATTTGCAATCCTGTTTTGCACCCCCTATTGTTCCAAATTAACCAAAGATGTGCAAATGTGTTGGAAACTGTGTTCACCCCTCACATTTGCACCCCTCACATTTACTCCTCTTCTCAAACAGAGTGTTAAGATTAATCATTAATTTAATGGCCCTTTTAATATGAGGAATAATTAAAAATAGTTTAGGGAAGGAATGGGTTGAAATAGGAGAAATTGGGAGTGGATCCAGTCAATAACTATGCATAACCCAATCAGAATCCGTCACGTCAACACCCATTCTCTCTCCTGAAAAGCCTTTAATTTCCCCCCTTAACCTTTAATAGTCGATTTCTCACTCGTTTTAAGTCAAAATTTAATTTATATCCACTTTGATATATTTCTGGAGCAAAAAAAATTGAGCCACTTTTTACCACTTTATACCATATGACTGGTATTCAAATAAGAGCATACCTATGGTATGAAAAGCGTACCATAGTGATATGAACAAACCAAGACTGTAGGATGGTTGAATACATGATAGTAGAAGTGTATTAACTGTTATTTACGACTTTAACATTGTGTACCACAAGATACCACCCCGTACCAGGGTGGTATTGTGTGGTATTTTTTGGTCCTGTATTTTGTTCACCCATAAATTTGTAGATCCAATAGATCATGATAAACTCGTTCCTTCTATGCAAAAATTTTCAAAAACGAATTAAAAACAAAGAAGATACCATATGGTATGCAGTTGGTACCGAGAGGCAAGATTTTGTTTTTCTAAAAAATATTGAAAATGGATCTCATTTTGTAGAGCACAACAAACTCGTTCCAACTGTGGAAAAAAAATTTGAAATCCGAGTTAAAACGAAGAAGATATGGATTCATAAAAAGAGAAGAAGATATGAGTCAATTAAGAAAACAAGGGAAAAATAAAAGTGCATTTAATTCTCCATCCTTAGATCTGAATCTTCTGAATGAAGAGTCCAAATTTAGTTACTGATTGGTGCGGAAATTAGTTGATATAGTTCCAGAAATAGCATTAAAGGTAAAAAAGATTTTGACAATAAAGATAAAATAAATTTAAAACGTGGCAATCGTATGTGCAAATATCTTTTGAATTTTATCAGTATCTCCTTGTTCTTCCTCACCTTTCCTAGAAATCATTTGTCAGCAATATAATCATTATCGATAATTTAACCATCAAACAAAATATTGATAATTTGGGTTTATAACTATCTTTGTATAATTTATTAGAGATTCATTTTTTGGTTGTTGACGTATTCACATAAGGCTGTAAACGTTTGCGCCGTAAAGTTCACATTTTATTGATTAGTTAACTATTTCTATTTTTCACCAAAAAAACCTATTTCTAATTTTATTTTTAATATTCTTATGTTACGTAACACCCCACCCATAATCTTTATGGTTGAACCCGTGGTTCAACCGCGCAGCCAAATCATCGATGTTACTTGTTGAACTCAATCATCTCAAACATCATATCTGATAATTAAACATAAACATAAATCATTATCATACAAACTCATTATTCGAATCCCAACCCACTTATTGAATTTTACAAAATGTGGGTTTATTATTGATAACGATGTAATTGCACATATTTGCGCCCCTAGTTCTTATCCGTTTGAGGGGCATAGTCGTGTGTTTTTGCCTATTTTACGCCGGGTTGTGCTATTTTGTCATATTTCAGGTCCCAGGCGTCAAAGGGGAGGCTAACCACGAGTTTCGGGGAATTTGGAGGTCATTTCGTCAAGCTGGGGCCAAAACACGGGCACACCTAAGGCATTACACGGCCGTGTTCCTGTGGCCGTGCTTTTTATGCCGAGAGCTGAGCTGATTACAAGGGCAGGGCCGAGACAAAGCACGGCCGTGTTCCACCAAAGCACGGCCGTGTCCACCGCGAAGCACGGCCGTGTTTCCCCCCAACTGCTGGCCGTGTAATTAACCTTGGCCGAAACACGGGCGGACTCAGGCAAAGCACGGCCGTGTCCTCGACCGTGCTTTGGCCACTGATGCTTTTAAGCAGATTTTCAGCCACAAGTCAAGGGGGATTCGAGTTTTAGAGAGAGAGATCAGTTCCTAGAGAGAGAAAGCGACGAACATGAGTCTCCAAGTGCCCTAGATTGATCTTCAACACCATTGGAGGCCAGCTTGAGCTTGGAGAAGTGCCGATCAACATCCAGAAGCAGGAATCCATCCTTCACAGTATGAATTCCGCGTCTGATTCTGCTTTTGCTTCTTTCTCTATGGAGTAGTTCTCCCATTCATCTGGGTATGGAGAACCCTAGATTTGTATGTTAGGCTTTGATTGTATGAACCCAAGTACTGATTCTATGATTTGATTATATTCGATTGAGGTTTGAATGATTGAATGACTTGAATCCTGATCAAATTCCTGTTGTTTCTGCTTTGACCTAGAATGAGAATATCTGCCTAGGTTGATAGAGCATCCTTGATTGAAGGTAGGGAGTTGGTGACTTTAGTCGAGGAGCCAACTCACTATTCTGTACCGGATTTACTCCGGTAGTGGAGGTTTTGTTCTTAGGGCCTCAATCTGTTTACTCCGGTGGAGGTTAGTCGCCCGCTAGAGACTCAGATTGAGAGGGTCTGAAGACCTTTAGTCGAGACTTCAGGCTGTTTAAGAACCTTCCGCAGTATAACTTTCATAGAAACTGAACTTGGTAATTACAATCCGGCTTAACTGCAGTCTAGGGGGAACCATATCCAGGTGACCTCTCTTAACCTGAATACAACCGTTTACTTGCTTTGTTAGTTTGTTAGTTTAGACTTGCATTCCAGTTTCATTGCTAGATAACAAGAATTCACTGAGTAGTCATCAGATCTAGGACCCGGGTTGACATTTAAACCCAAACCCGCTATACTACGTTTTAGGAAGTGGTTACACTTGGCCAATTCCTGGAGTGACAGTAGAAGTGAGTCAATTATTCTAACACTCAAAGCAAAAATCCTAGGTGACCATGACAGAACAGTGTTCCAAACTACCTCATGATGGTAGTACAGAAGGATAGGGCAGCCTTAGTAGTCCGATCCTAGTTGCACCTGCGAGCCTGAAAACAGACGTGGGTCAACAACTAAGCTGTGTGTGTGGATCTTTCCCACGACCTAATTTTGGGACCGCAATCAGCTAATCAAACAATCGTAATCAATCATAATTTAGTACTCTAGATGCCATCTTAAATCATCATATATAAATTACCGATCAAATTATTGAATCCACCAACTCATCATCACCAAATCAATTTATCCAATAAGATAATCACATAATTTCACGAACACATAATCAATGCATGATATGAAAATTCCGGTTAATTATTAATGGCGCCAAGGTCACCATACACTTACCCTCGCTCGAGCAAATCATCATCTGTGGTGCTCATGCAACCCCAACACTCAATCCGTGGATTTTAACCACAACACTCATCCGTGGTGCTCATGCAACCACAACACTCAATCATATAAGCGAGCTAAATCTACCCACTCTCAAGGGGTGAGGGTAAGTGCAGGCCCTTTCTACATCTACGTGAATTAATATGATCACGAATCAAACCATTTCCATTTTTCTCATCCATCACAAACAATCCGGAATCAATGTAGTCTCACTGATTAACCGGTCCATATATATATTTCCCGTCGATTATCAACTTGACGTGACGTTTCTAAAAATCAACTATCTCATCATCCAATAACAAATCACATAAATCATCTCATTCTCCAGTATACCTACTCAGCAGTACCATATCACCATTCCTCATCCAAAATTCATCAACAATTTCACGAAATAGACCCGTTGCAAATAATTGTAAATAACCCGGTTGCGGTTAAAAATATCCTTAACTCACAATTCATTTTTCTTCATTAAAATCCTCATAAAATTCATGAATTTATTGACCCAAAAATCCATTTAATCCAATTCTGGTCATAAAAATTAATTTAGACAATAAAATATAAAAAATCTCGTATTAATCATTATTTTACGATAACTTAAATTCCCACAAAATGGTAATTCCGAAAATATCCAAAAAATACAAGAACCTCCATTTATCATCTTAAAATAGGTCTGTCCAGTTTTTATATTTTTTAATAGCTCAAAACATGAAAATAATATTACACTTGGTATTTACCGCAAATCTCGTATTAAGCTTATTTTTACCATTTTAAAGATAAAAACTCCACCAACTGTCAAAGTTACCCTTTCCAGACCAAAACCCATTTAAAAATCCAAACTGACCATTTTAAAGTGATCACAACCTTAAAGATAAATAAAACACTTTTTTACCGAGCTTTTCGTATCACCGTTATGCAGTTTTTAATCAAGAAACAATTTTCAAGTCAAATCTTCTGCTCAATCTGCCCAAACATCATTTTAGACAAACCAAAATATCTTAGATCAGGTTTAAACTCAATAAACCCAACTATCCATTTTTACGGTGAAACTTGTCAAATACCGATATTTACACCGTAAAATCCATAACAATCAAGAATAATCACCAAATCATTATATCAACAAATAATTTATCAACCACAGTAATCCATCCATCCAAATATGCCAATCAAGCATAAATAATCGATGCAATAATTAAGGTCCTCTTAATCCCCACACACCTTAATTTAGCCGATTCCAAGTCGGGAATTAAGTTCTAAAATTCCAGAGATTGGCTCCTAAAAATTCTCCTTGTTTTTACGGTCCTGTAGGCGAAAACGGTTCTTCATTCGTCAGTTGATCATCGTTAGTACGAAGTTACGGATTAATTGTTAATTTTCTGCATGTCCCAAAATCTGCAGAAAACTGGAAATTTTCCTACCTCGCGTACCAACTTCCCGGCCTTGTTTCTCCCTCGTCCGAGCTCAGAATTCAATTCCGTAAACTCTGTGATGCTCGTGGAGACTTGCTCTTCGCAACGGTATCAAGCTTTGTAGCTGATACTGCCTTTAGTAGCGCTAGTTGGGTTGATGAAAAGGTTACGGCAAAAGTATCGGCGAAAGAACTTCGGTGAGTTTGGTTTGACGCTTGGGCTTTATAATCAGGTTCGTATGAGTTCTTGACCTTTGCTGGGATTATGGAGAGTATGCTAGACCTTTGTTATTTGTTCCCTATTTCATTTCACTTCTAGTTCACAAATATAGGAGAGGTTTCCTCCAATGGTGGGTTTGAGGAAAGAAGAAGATGAAGGGAGGTCACTAAGCCTTTAAAGGCTATTCAAACTCATCCTCCCCCTCTTTACTCTCTGTAGGTGCCTTGAAGGCTCTTAGAAGGCCGCCTTCATGTTTCAGAAGTGTAGTGATCTCCTTCCAAGTTCCCACGGTAGGCACCGCTAAATAAATTGATGCTGCTGCCAGTGCATCCAAGTTCCCAAGGTTAAAATCAAGAAGGGTGCATTCATTAATATAGATTAATGCTGGCGCAGCTTGTTAAGCTGTCAGCTCCTCCTTAGTTTCCAGGAGGTCATGGGTTTGATTCCAGCAACACACCAATTTATTTTTGCTTCAGTTTTTAATGGTTTGTGAGTTTTCGAGTGGTTTCACGGATCTTATCTCGTATAAGATAATAACTAAATCTTTTTTTTCCAGCCTCGAATCATACTATCTGCGTCCGCCACTTGGAAAAAAAATTATCCGAGGTTCGGATGTTACATGTTAGTTGTAAGGATTATAAATGTTGTGTGTTGTATTACCACTGATAAGGGGTATTTATACCCAAGAATATACAGAGTACAAGGAACTACAATACATCTAGAACTAGGAATACAAGTACTACAAGGATAAAGGTTTATCCTTAATATGTCCCGCAAAATGGATGCGGCGTCAGCAAGCTCAATCTTGAAGCAGAGAAGGAGGAAGCAGGCGGAGGGAAGTGGCTTAGTAAGAATGTTCGCAAGCTGAGAAGTTGTAGCCTGTAGGCACATGATAGACGATGAGTTGCTTGGCTTGGACAAGCTGACGTACGAAGTGGTAATCGAACACAAGATGCTTCATTTGCGAGTGAAACACGGGGTTGGAACTGAAGTTGACCGCCCCCATGTTGTCAGAGAAGAGAATCAGGGCACGCAGAAGTGGTGGCCGCAGCTCGGAGAGAAGATTGAAGACCAAGCGGACCTCAGAGAGTGGCGAGAGTGATTGCCATATATTATGCATCAGTACTGGAACGAGCCACCGTCTTTTGTTTCTTGGATTTCCATGAAATTAAGGTATCGCCAAGATAGAGAAGAAAACCAGACGTGGAAGTGCGATCATCCAGATCACCCGCCTAGTCAGAGTCAGAAAATACTCAGACACGAAGTGGAGTGGACTGACGGCGATTGTGAAGGCCGAGAGAGCTAGTGCCAGCTAGGTTGCGGAGGAGGCGCTTAACATGCTACCAGTGGAGGGAGGCCAGGGCATGCATGTATAGAGAAAATTTGTTGACAGTAAATGCGATGTCCGGTCGAGTAGTGACCAGGTACTGGAGTGCACCAAGATCTTGGCGATACAATGTGCCATCAACATGAACAGTGCCATCAGTAATAAGGAGATGAGCCATGCAAGCTAGGGGGAGGTGACGGGTTTCGCATCCTGCATTTCAAATTGAGTACGTATGTATCCTGATGTACTTGTTCTAAGACAATGTGAAACCAGTAGGAGTAAGGATGACTTCAATTCCCAGGAAGTAATTCACCTGGCCCAGGCAACGGAGAGCAAACCGCGTGGCCAATTGTTCCTGGAATGTATGGAGAAACTCGAAGTTATTGCCGATGAGTAGAAGATCGTCCATATACATGAGGAATTAGGCAAAAACTCCATGGTGATGATAGAAAAACAACGACGCATCAGACTGAGTCTTAGTAAACCCACATTGTACAAGGAACGAGCTTAACTCGTCGTATCACGCTCGAGGGGCTTGACAAAACCTGTAGATAGCCTGGCACAGCTGACACACATGATTAGGGAACTGGGATCTCAACATTCAGGAGGTTGAGCCATGTAGACCTCTTCATGAAGTGGACCCTGAAGGAATGTGTTGTTGACATTGAACTAATGAATAAGCCAGTTATGAGAGAGGGCAATGGTGAAGACTGCGAACTGTGACAGGCTTGAGAACAGGGTTGAAGGTCTCGTGGAAGTCAACTCCAGACCGTTGGTGAAGTCCCTTGGCGGCAGGACGAGTTTTGAAGCGTTCAATGCTTCCATCCACACGACGTTTGATGCGATACAACCACATTGCTAATGACGTTGTAGTGAGGAAGCTCGGGAACAAGATCCTAACTACGGTTGGCATGTAAAGCGTCAAACTCAACCCGTAGAGCATCATTCCATTCCACATATTGAAGAGCTTCCTTGACCGACCTGGGCTCGAGAGGAGGAGTGACCTGCGAAGTAGACAAAATTTAGGCATACTTGCGGTTAGGTTTATAGATGTTGTCCTTTGCTCGAGTAACCATAGGGTTGAAGGGAGGCAGAGGAGCTAGACGAGCAGAAGATGTTGAGGCTATGTCGTGTCGAGGAGGGGAGCTCTCCTGAGAAGGACCCGTCGGCCGTCGAGGGGGTCACAGGTCACTGGCTGGCAGTGAGCAATGCAGTCAAAATCTAGATTTTAAGTAAAATCGAAAACTGAGGTAGAATCGAAATCGTAGATTAAAATCGTAAAATCGTAAGATTTTAAGGTTCATATTAAAATAAATACTTAAAACACTAGATAGTAATAAAAATGCATTTCTTGAATAATATTCAACCACATAAAGCATAATTACTTTCCAAGATAAGTTTGTTTGCTAAACAAACACAACTAATCCATGTATTTTTCTTGTACATAATAGAAACACACAAATAAGAAACCTGAAACATTATAGATATCACTGTTAATTAATTGTTAAGAGTAGAAAATCACATAAGATCGTTAGGATCAACATTAACATCACTTACACATCATCGTCATCGTCATCATCCTCAACCTCCCCCTCACTCTCATCGTTTTTATTTGTTTAAGGACTAATGTCATTACTCTTATGATCACTTGAAGTACTTTCACCATTAACCATATTTCCTTGATTACCATCATCTGGAAAAGATAACTCATTGATTGATGCATTCCCTTCTTAATTGATAAAAGGTCGGGTTAGTGGTGCTGAAGGATTGGGAGATGAACAAAAGCTTGCAATGCAATGGAGATTTGGATTATTGTGAGGGTGGTGGGAACAAACTACAAGCTAATTGGGAGGGTGGAAGATATCGTTGATGGAAGGAGTTGGGCGCCGACGTGCGAAAGAGGAAGATACGAGGAAGAGAATGAAAATAAATTGAGGGTTAACTATCAGGTCAGGGTTGTGTTGTTCATTATGTTGGGTTGGGGAAAGTAAATTTGACTCGGTTCATGGGCATAACCCAACTTGACCGGCCTAATTTTGATCCAATTGATATGAACCTTGAAATCGTACAAAATCGTAGAAATCGTAGATTTTATGGATTTTAGAGTTTTAAATCGGGATTTTATGGGATTTTAAGGTTCAAAGATTTTACAGTAAAATCAGGATCGGAACCCATAGGTAAGATCGTAAAATCGTAAGATTTTAAGATTAAAATCGGGATTTTGACTACATTGGCAGTGAGGAACGGGTGACGAGTTGGGCATAGTTGTGAGCGGAATGGTGGTGACCGGGTGAAGACTCGCCTCAAGCCAGGCTGTGGAGGATGGGGGTTTAGGAGAGGAGGGAGAGGCAGACACACCAGGGAATTAAGTTTCGATAAAAACAACATGTTGGGAGAGGAACAAACGATTAGATGTAGGATCAAGGTAAGACGATTTCTACTACATGACTGTGCTTACGTTCGGACATACCATTATGTACGGGGGGGGGGGGTGTAAGGAGGATTGAAAAGATGGGTGATGTCGTGGGCGGCGAGGTAAGTATAGAGTTTGATAAACTCACCACAGCCATCGGTATATAGGCGACAAATAGTGGTGGTGAAGTACTTCTCAACTAGGCGTTTAAAAGGCTAGGAACACAGAGAGAACATCGGATTTAAGACGAATAGGATAGATCCATGTATAACAGGTAAAATGATCAACTATAATCAAACAGTAGGAAAAGTCAATAACAGAGGTAACAAGGGCAGGGTCCCATACATCAGATCAGAGTATACTAAATCAAAAGGCCGACAACTAGTTAAGCTAAAATCACCAAAGGGAAGTCGATGACTCTTGTTTGATAGACATGAGGGAAAATAAAAGAACACTGACGACATAGAAACTGGTAGGGACTGAGTATTGGGAAGATGAGACAAGGCTTTGGACGACGGATGGCCAAGACGACGATGCTAGGAGGTCGCAGAGTCTTTAGTGGTCACCAACGCTAACTTGATGGCTGACAATCCACCTGTGAGCTCGTAGGTGTCCCACTTGTTCCTTTATTTCAGCAGTGGTGCCCCCGTGTGAAGGTCCTTCACAAGAAAAGAATGAGCAAAAAATTCAACGGACACAGGGTTGGTTCGACAAAGCTTGGCAACAGAGATCAAACATTGCATAATCGCAGGTATACAAAGCATATCACGTAAGATAAGCGAGTTGTTGTGAGACGAAAGAGAAGAGGAACCAATATGGGTGATCTTAAAACCGGAGCCATCGCCTAAGTAAACTTCATCCGAGCCATTGTAATCCGAGTAGAGTGCAAGATTACCAAGATCATTGGTGACATGGTGAGTAGCGGCCGAGTCCATGAGCCATGCACTACCATCATGAGAGGAAGAGGGATCCGGGCAGTTGACATGATGTGCTTGATGAATTTTCTGTGGAAGGAGCTAGTAGCATTGCTTCGAGGTGTGACCCGGCTTGTTACAGTACTGGCAAAAGACTCAAGAACGACATTGATCACTATCATTATGGGAGCTAGCCATGTCATAGAAGGAGGATGAATCCGTGGGGGGAGAGGCACGTCCGTCGCCGCGATTGCCGAGACCACGACCCCGGTTGTCGTGGCCACGTTGGGTGTAGTAGGCTGTCGCATGAGCAAAAGAACGACGAGCCTTGAGGTCAACCTCGAGAGACACAAGACGATCAACGAGATTGTCGAGGCTAGGAGGGTTCTCACAGAGGCAGTAGGTGACCAGCTCATCCTCATGAACCGCCGTTCCAGCAAGCACCATGTTAGTAGCAATAGAGCGAAGAGACTGGATGAAGGTGGCGACATCACGGTCCCCCCATTTTTCAGCAAAGAAGCTATTGAGCGTGGACCAAGGCGTTGGTGTACATCCGAATCAACGTGGACCAAGGCGAGGGCGGGAGGCATTGGTGTACATCCGAATCAACGTGGACCAAGGCGTTGCCATGGAAGGAGCAACGCTGATGAAGGAGCAGACTGTCTCAAAAATCGATGCAAAGAAGCTATTGAGCAGGAGCTTGTCATGAAAGAACCAGTGAGTATATGATGGATTACGTGACTAAACTCCATTAACACTGACGCGTTCAGAAGGAGGAGTTGTGGTACCATCAAGATATCCGACTAGATCGAGTCCTTGAAGCAAGGACAAGAGTTGAGCACACCATGAAGGGAAGTTTGTCGCTGTGAGCTTGAGCGGGAGGCTGGCCGGCGGATTGGAGGTTACAAAGGCAGGCGAAGCAGCATCGCCGACGGGACTGGTAGCGGTGTCGGAGGTAGCGGAGTCGGCGTCAGACATGGCGAGCAAGCAGATGGACTAGAGGGCGAGCGCTGAACGTGGGTGTGCCACCGAGAAGCTGGATCAGAAATTCTAGGGTTAGAGTGTAGGCTCTCATACCATGTAAGGATTATGAATGTTGTGTGTTCACTGTGTTGTATTACCACTGATAAGGGGTATTTATATCCAATAATATACATAGTACAAGGAGTTACAATACTTCTCGAACTAGTAATACAAGTACTACAAGGATAAATGTGTATCCTTAGTATTATTTACGTTCCTTTCCCCACTCAATGATATATTAAGTGATCATTTACAATTGTTTCAATCGTCCTTGTATCGGTTATTGACAAATTTTTTTTGTTGAATCAGTTTCCCCCTTTTTTTATTATGAGATGTGCTAGGATCAAACAATCCTTCACACTGATACAACAAAGAGGACATCCCCAACTGGGATACCCTGTAGGACAACAAAAATGAAGCAAAAAAAAAAAAAAACTGCCCACTTTAGTCCCACTTTTACAAATTCCACCTACTACAACAGACTATGTAAACAGACCCAATCAGACATCAAAACAAGGTAATACTGAAGTGCAAAGAGCAGGTCCCTATTCCATAATTTCACCACTACTTCAGCACCCCTTGGGCTCTCGCCATGACATCACCGACATCGTTCCTGCCAAATAAACGAAATCAGCGAGCACCAAACCAAGCCAATACAGCGACCCAACGCTGAGTTCTTTGCTTCTATTTCCCCTGCTGTTGCAAGCCTTTGATACCAAGAACTGCGACAAAACAACAGTCCCCATCCTTCACAAATTTCCTTTGAGAATTCACACTAAAAAAATATATGACTCCTAGAATCAATCCCTCTACTACACAATACGCAAGAAGCATCTGTAACCTTACCTCACTTCTACAATTTCTCCCTCGTCACACTTGCATCAAACACCATAATCCAAGCAATCATGCTCCATCTTGGGACATTATATTTACCCCACAACAATTTAAACCAGCTAACCTTATTGCAGGGTGATCTAATAGTGTTCCACATTGTACTAACCGAATACACATCCATCTTCTTCCCATTCCACAGTTTGTCCTGTCCCTCCAAAGCCATATAAGGCTGAAACACAGTTCTCAGCTTCAAAATACGTTTCCAAGGCCGTGAACTTGACGACGTCATCATCATAATCCATAAGTCAGCTCCCCTACAACAATAAGCCTGCATCCATGCAACCCATAGGGCTCCAGATTTGATCATAAGGATCCAGAGCATCCTGGCATATTGACAAATTGTTGCTTATCCATATTTAGGTTTTTTTTTACCATGGATATCCCAAAAGAAATGGTTATATATACGACCTTTTAAAGTTCGAACGGTAAAGCAGAAAGAAGATAGAGGCGACATTTCTATGTGCTCCTCGCCCCCCTCACTTCGGGCAATTAGCAATAATTTTTCTCTGCAATTCCGGAAATCTCTTTCATGTAGCTTAGCAAGGAAATTTCGGACTCTATGATTCAGAGTATCATTTCCTATTTAATCCCTTTCAATTCCATATTCGAAGTTGCGATCAGATCTATTCATTAACAATAATTGATTCAATACATTGGTCAACGAATCTCTGACCAAGAATAAGAGAGCTTGTTTTGTCACGATATGAGCAGTCGTATACATACTTCATACGAGACGAGAAATTAATGATTGACTATATTATTTATTAACGATTTCTTTGATGATTATTAATGGTTGGGAAACATGCATAGTTACTAGTAGATAGTTGCAGCGTAAAAAATAAATCGATGATTCGTTAAATATTGGACATATGCATCGTTATTAAAGAATGAATACATTGTTAATAATGGAATTACGAGGGGTCCGGATCCCATCAGTAACCATCAGGTGAGTACCTCCATGCATAACTTTATAAGAATCCGCCACATCAGCGGCTCTTTCTCTCCTCTCGAAAAACCTTTAATTTTCCTTCCATTAATCTTTAA